ATTATTATATTACTGTGCAGGTTCTGATACACCTCAGAGCTTTTCAGATTGTGTACTGCCTGAAGCAACCAAGTCGATGAAGTAGCWAAACATGCTACAATATGTAACCTGCATCCTCCCATCCCTTGAGCAAAGTAAGCAGCATAATAATTGTCTCATCTGAGCTTTGTCAGATGGTGTTCCTACGTGTTTCAATCCACAACYCTCAGAGAACCGTGGTAGCTCGTTCTGTTTGCACATAAATAAACYTCGSTTCCYGTTCARGTCTGAAGTCACTCCCATAATTCACGCAYTGCATCATGGAGGCTAAAGGTGGATAACTTGTCCTCTGAAGTTTTTTTTTCCAACTCTCTTGTGCGTTGCTCTGTTAACAGGACACTATGACAAGTGRGTGTTTGCACTTCGTGAAGAAAACAAAGGGGACATGGTCAACGTCGTCAACTACATTTTCTCCCATGCTAAAGTCACAAAGAAGAACCTGCTGGTTACWATGCTGATTGTAAGTATTTGTCTTTATTCATTCAGAACAATTCAGGAACCTATGTATCACAATCATAAATGCATATTATTTCTACCCACTCAGAGAAAAGTCTGATTCTACCATACGTATACTGTATGTCATGAAAGAAATCCTCTTGTTGTTTTTGTATGACACTTTATGGCTTGTATGTCTTCTAACCAAAAACACACATTTAAAAATATGGGGTTTTAGAATCTGCATCAGATTTTTTTCATTCGATGTTGCTTTGTGTGTTTAGGATCAGCTCTGTGGCCGTGATCCCACGCTGACCGATGAACTTATGACCATTTTGACTGAACTCACGCAGCTCAGCAAGACAACCAACGCCAAGGTGGCTCTGCGTGCACGGCAGGTCAGATTTAGTTTCATCATCTTGTTTGCTGTACTGTAAAAAGGACTCAAACTCAAAACAAGTAGAAAAGATGTGCCGCTAGATGCTCAAAAAGCAAAAAATAGAAGCTGTTAATCAAGCTGATTCATTTTGTAATATTTCAAATTTCACCACCAGATGGCGCCACATACTTTCCTTTAAGGCACAGAGTATGTGGTCACATTATTTTTTTTATTTCAGCGTGAAAGAATTAAATTTTTGAAAAACCACAATAAAACTTGTAATTATAATATGCTTCTCACTCCATAGCTGGTAACTAAATGTAGTGTTGAAAGTACTTAAAGTTAGATGCTGTCACAAGATGTCAAAGGATATGTAAGGAGGCATTGTGTTTCAGCTTGTGCCTGAAGGACCTCATTAATCTTCCTCACACAGGTCCTGATAGCTTCCCACCTTCCCTCCTATGAGCTAAGACACAACCAGGTGGAGTCTATCTTCCTCTCTGCCATTGATATGTATGGGCACCAGTTCTGCATTGAGAACTTGCAGGTAGGCGAAAATACAACACAGGCAACAGTTGTAGTTTTATGTATTGCTCCAGAAATTAACAGAGTTCCCAATAAATATTTACTCRTTTTTTTTCTGTTTTAGAAACTCATCCTTTCAGAGACATCCATCTTTGATGTTCTGCCAAACTTTTTCTATCACAGTAATCAGGTGGTCAGGATGGCTGCCCTCGAGGTGAGGCTAATTGTAATCTTAATCTACAAATCAGCTCACCTAAATGTTAATTCATTAAARTTACAGTGTTWTATATATATATATGATGTTCTATTGTTTATCAGGTATATGTTCGCCGAGCATACATTGCCTATGAGCTCAACAGTGTGCAGCATCGACAACTGAAGGACAACACATGTGTAGTAGAGTTTCAGTTCATGCTTCCCACATCACATCCCAACAGGTATAACATATAAAAATTCTCCACATGCAACGTGTTAGCTTTATGTCACCCCTCAGAACCTTATGGCACTGTGGACTCAGCCACTAATGTTCTATTCTAATAGTTATCATAAATTACAACATCATTTAAAGGGGGGATATCATGCAAAATCCACTTTTTTAGCCATTAAATATTTTTGTTGTGTATTTGGAGTCTCTAGGAGTGCAGAAAAGTTGCATTTAGTTTCTCTCGGTGCTGCAAAAATATATTTATTTTCTTTTTGGGTCACATTTTTTAACTCGTTCAGTTTTCTCTCAGACATTTTCTGAACTATTACAGAACTGCCAAATTTTGCGCTCGTCATTTTCAATGCATGACATGTCTCCTTTAATGTGTAGATATTTGTAGTGTGGGTGAAGATGCGCTGTGGTTCAGCTCTCCCAGTCTATAAAAGAAAAACAATCTAATGAAGGTTAAGGTTACTGATGATGATGAGTCGTCATGTTAACTGAATGTCACCCATGGTGCCACGGTCTCTCACCACCATCCTCCTCAGCTTTGTGTTTGTGTTTATTGTTGTTCATGTGCTTTTCCTCATGTGCAAGGCTTAAAGTGTTTTTAGTTTTTGAAAAACCAAAGCAAAACATCCTTGATTTAAAATCTAAGTTGCTCCATCCATCCAGTCATTCATCCACTTTTCCCTCCAAATATTTTCTTTCTTCAAATTTCAAACGTGACTAGATCTTCCTTTAAAATATCTAGTAAAGTAAAAAGCTCTTATCGCTTATCGAACATGATAATCCAAATAAAAATAGAGCTAGATATGAGATTTAGCTTCAACATGCTGATTATTTCAAAAGACTGTCGCATTTTTCCTGTTAGGGGTTTGCATCCAACTCATACAGTTGTTTGATTTGTCTGTGTGTGTATGTTTTGGTGCATTTGCTTGCTGATTCTACTCACTGCTTGTATGTTTTTGTCCTCTTGATATATTTTTCAGAGATTTGTAAAAAATCCCATTTTCTCCTCATTCTTTTGCATGCTTACTTTTGCCTCAAAATTAACTTCCACGTTTGTTCCTCTCTTTGTTCTAAATTTATCCTCGAACAAAGAGATCCTAATATCTCTTGATGCATGTTTTAAAAGGAGTAGTCTGGGAGCAAAATGTGTGCTGTTTAAGTTTAAGTTTTCCAATATTCTGCTGACTTTAGATACTGAAAATATAAAATTACATTATTTTCTAGATCTTGACACACACATTGCTCCGTCATGACTGTCTTCTTCTGTTGAATCCTGACACTAACCACATAGTAATCAATGTTGTTTGATTGCAGAGGGAACATCCCCACTCTCAACAGGTATTGTACACGTTCTTTTCTATTGTGTATACTAACAATTATTGCAGCTGCATGAGCCAAATCTTGTTGAATTGTAGTAATTCTCAATAAAGTTGTTGGTACTAAAAATGTTGGGTGCTTTGAAATTTCCCAAAATGATGTAGCGTGATTAAAAGTGCAATCTTTTTAGAATTTGACTGACAATAGCATGGGCCATTTGGTGTTCTTGTCAAATGTTTTGTTTGTGTGTGTGTGTGTGTGTGTGTCTTTAAAAATCATGTGTTTAGTCCTTATTGTTGCGTCAAAGTGGCTCAATTCTGTAGAGATTTAGAATAACTCGGGGTGTAAAAATGCAAGGTGCTAATAGCAATGGTGAGAGATTTGTTGTACACCAGTAAGACGATCCAGAGCTTAAACTTCTAACTGTCCTGCCAGGAAAATGCCCACTCCAGTCCCGGACAATAAAAAAGCCTTGAAAAGAAACTTGCAGTTATCTAAAGCCCAGGACCTTAAAGTTCATGATACGCAGGACAGTGAATTTAAGGATGATCCTGAGAAGAAAAGTACCTCAGATGGAGAATCTTTTGACAGGTTTGATGCACCAAACCTCTGTTGGTTACTGTGGGTGGAACTTCTGGGATATCTCTGTATCACCAATTAACACTAATCGTTATGGAGCAAAAATATCTAAAGGTTCTCTCTGATGGATCTAGGGTTTCTTGTGCACATGAAAGTAATACTTGTTTTACTTTGACTAACACAAGAACGGTCACCTTTTCCTACTGTGCGGTTACTTTGGAAGCATTTACTTCTCACCCTGAATATTTTTCCATTTTTTCCTTTTAATATTTGGACCTCAAGCAGTTTTTATTCCTTTGAGTTCATAATGCTTGAGACAAATATGTGCTTTTATTATAAATTATTGTATTTTATTATAAAGAACTCCCTCAAAGCAGAGGAATCAAAACGGTTTTGAGGTTCTTAAAGGTGYACTGGGGGAACCATTAGTCAGCCAAATCACATTGCAGGTTTTTATATCGATTCTTTTCTCTGTATATGTTAGGATGTCATTCTCTTCTAACTTGAATCACTATGGCATGGTGCACATGGCCAACGTAAGTGATGTCCTGCTCGACACGTCTTTTACACCGCCTTGTCAGAGAATGGGAGCCATGGTCTCATTCCGCACCTTCCAGGAGTTCACACGGTCAGTTTTAGATTAAAAAATCCAACTTTTTATATAATTATTAATAAGAAATTAAAATAATAAAGTGTGGTTTATATATTTTTGTTTTTTTTTACAGGAACATCAATGATGTGCTGAGTTGCTTTTCTGACTCTCCCCCTACAAGTCCAATGTTCCCAGAAGGAGGCAATCCTGTCTTGTACGGTGAAGAAGACAACAAGGTGAGGAGAACAAACTGCTGCCAGTCACATGGACTTTACAAGTCTGTGAAACTTTAAAAAGAACTGTTTGCGTTTGTCTTCTAGAGCATTCAGGAGGAACCTGTCCACATCCTCAATGTGGCCATAAAGACCGACAGCGACATTGATGATGACAGTCTGGCAGCCATGTTTCGGGAGTTTACTCAGTCAAAGGTGAGGCCTAAAACTTCACGTAAAAGTTGTTTGAAATGCTTTAAATAGATGAACTTATGCTGATATTTATGTTTTTTGTTTTTTTTGTAAGAAATCACTGCTTTTTGAACATGGTATCCGYAGGCTGACTTTCCTTGTGGCACAGAAGGTGAGTGCTTCTATTGGTGATTATTTAAACTAAACTCGATTTCATAATCTTCTTTGTCACCAAATAAACATTTCTTAATTGCATTTACTAGAATGTGACCAAATGAAAAAAGTCCTGCATGTGTCTTTCTTCTTTAATATTTTGTCAACGTTTATGCAGTATTGCATCATTGTGGTAATTGCACTAATAATTTGCATTTAAAATTTAGCTCTCGTTTTTGTCTTTGTATCTCTTCCTGCATGCTTCGCTTTTGCTCAATTTTGATGGTAGGATTTCAGGAAGCAAATCAACTGTGAGGTGGATCAAAGGTTTCATGTAAGTACTGATAAAATGACCGGATGATTATTGCACACCTTACCAAGGAAGTTCATTTTAAATAACCAGTCATGCTGCAAAATATTTCCTCTGTTTAATTGGTTGATTAAAATAAAATTGCTAATTTAAACAAATGAGTTTTTAAATGCCAACCACTTGTTATGGGCTCATATAAATCTTTTTTGTAGAGAAATCATGTTCAGCTGTTAAGATTTGAATAAACAAAACTTTAACAACGTCCAAAACGGTAAATGTTTGGGTTTTGCTAAAGTGTGTTTTGAGTTTTCACCGCACCGTTAAAGCTTCATTAGAGTGAGCTTGGCTTGTTTCATGTGTAATTTTCCACAATCATGTGACCACATATTTCATCATGCATATTTAGGTAGCAGCTGGACCTTCAAGTTCAACCAATTATTTGGAGAACAGCCACTAACATTTACAAAACACCAAAAAGGACAGGGATTCATTCGGGAGAAAAGCTCGTGCCTTTCACCTCTGCTGTCATTTTAACAATACCCTTTGATTTTTCTTTTCACCACACCATAATGAGAGCTAATCAGGCTAACTGTCTCCTTGTTACATAAAGCGTCTTTTGCTAGTTTGCACCATTATGCATGCTCACACCCCCCACCCCCACAAAAAAGGGAAAAAGATTTCTCTATAGCTCTATAATGTTCAGTAAAATGGTATTATTCACAGTGTCAAATCGTTGCAGCGCCAGTTTACAGTGTGTTTACTACAGCGACTCTCTCATCATCGTGTAGGCTGTGAGATGATAAGAGCATCTCCAATCGCTCTGGCATTGTTTGGGCAAGTGGGACACTTGATCTGATAACGTCAAACACCGCTGCCAGGCATTATTCAGAGGCTCGCATGTCTCTGAGGAACGGAGATATTTTATTCATTAGCCTAGTGAGTGGTGCTTGTATATGTAGCCTGTTAACGCAGTGATGATAACTTGCTGCCTTTTGTGAATGCTCTGTGATTCTTTGACAGATAAATTATAGAATAAAAAAATGAGCACAGAGCGTTTTGCATTTAAAGCAGTGCATTAAATTCCATTTTTACTTGTGACTGMGCAATGAAAGTGAAAACCAGACTGGGTAATTTGGTCTGCTATAAGGTTTAAAGCTATTCAGTAAGAGCTCAAGTGAATAAGCATTAAAGCACTTGTTTCTTCTGTTTCTGCCATGTTTTGTGATTCACTTCTTTTTCAGCAGCATTGAATGAAAACATGACTAGTTTAATAATAGTGTGCTATGACTGCTTGTAACAAAAGTAAACAAAAAATCTGTGAAATATTGTCCCCATAGATAACTGTTGCATTTTGGCAAAACAAGAGAAACACGTATTTGTTCTTCAGAGTTTAAACGGTTAAAACAAAATTACACTTAATAAGACCAAAGTGTCAAGATTATATCTTTAATGTTTTTTTACACACATGTAGTTTAGATTGTATCTTTAATGATTTTTTACACGCATGTAGTTTAGATTATATAATGTTCTGTGAGTTTTACCATAATCTGGCCAACTTGGTGTGTAATGCAAGCTTCCTGTCTTTTTTTAAACCATTGTGTCACTCACTGCTAAATAACTGTAAAAGTTATATCTTAAATCCACTTAGAATGCAGTGTAGACTCAGGCTTCCATAAACTGCCAATGCATTTGGCCTCTGACTATTTTTGTTTCCTCTTAAAGCACTGTAGACATGCAAACATGATTAGTAATAATCCATCGACCTGTCTTATTAAGTTTACTGTCAAGGAGTGAGACAGGTGTGTAGTTACTATTGGGACCCTATTGCATCACTGGCAGTAGCTGTAACATTTGTTTTGATCTTGGTTCTCTTTAAATGTCTTATGCAGTTTAAACATCAGTATTTTGTCAGCTTATATTACAAAAGTTACAATGTTTTACTTTGGAAGAAAGGTGATTCATTTTGAAATTGCAGGTATTTGCTCCATTGGTGCCCTTCAAAATTTCTTCAGAAATCTTTTATCCGWTTTATTATTTTTAATGTAAAAAATATGCAGCTACTGTATTTATTACGCAAATGTATTTATTTGTCTATATTTGTTTTATTTACACAGAGGGAATTTCCCAAATTCTTCACATTCCGTGCCAGAGACAAGGTATGTGTTGACTTTAAAAAAAATAAAGTATGACTGTTTATATTTGATTAATATGTATGCTATTGTTATGACATTACCATAAATCCAATGGGTTTGAAAACAACATAGAATGGACACCGACATTTCTCTTTCAGGCTTTGCTTAAATTTATTTCACACCAGTCAGTGATGGCTCTTCTTGACCACTACCCCTAATAGTTTCTTCACAATGGCACCACTAAAACTCACTATCGTAATGAAGTATTTGATTATGTTCCCCATTAAGGAGAAATGACACCCATTAGCAGCTTTGAGATTAAGATGGTTCAGGATTTCATTTACTTGGCACAGCGTTTGACTCGCAGGCATCTTTCAACTTCAATACCCACTTTAGAGTCATGCTAACATCTTCATTTTAAAAGGATTTTAACCTTATATCTTGAGAGAAAATATTATTTTGAATAAACTTGAGGAAACCTTGCAGTATTGTTTAACTCTATGCGGTTTTGTCTTGCCTGTTTTTCAACAGTTCGAGGAGGACAGGATCTATCGGCACTTGGAGCCGGCGTTAGCGTTCCAGTTGGAACTCAACCGTATGCGTAATTTTGCCCTGACTGCCATTCCTTGTGCCAATCACAAGATGCACCTTTACTTGGGCGCGGCCCGCGTGGAGGTGGGCACAGAGGTTACAGACTACCGTTTCTTTGTTCGAGCCATTATCCGTCACTCAGATCTGGTCACAAAGGTGAGAAAACACCAAAAGAACAAGAGTTTCATGAATAATAAAGATTTTTATATATATTTATTCTTCTATGTATATTTGCACCTGTCCATATTTTTAAGGCTTCCATATACTTACTGTACATTTGTATGGTTATTCAATAGGAAGCCTCTTTTGAATACCTTCATAATGAAGCCGAGCGCCTGCTGCTGGAAGCCATGGATGAACTGGAAGTGGCTTTCAACAACACAACAGTACGAACTGACTGCAACCATATTTTCCTCAACTTTGTCCCTACAGTCATCATGGATCCATCAAAGGTTTGCAAAACTGTTACACCCACACATTTTAATATTAACTTTAATGCCAACCCTTTCTAACATTTCTCTGTTGGCTTCAGATTGAGGAGTCCGTGCGCTCCATGGTGATGCGTTACGGCAGCCGTCTGTGGAAGCTTCGTGTCCTGCAGGCTGAGCTGAAAATCAACATCCGCCTGACTCCAACAGGAAAGCAAATTCCCATCCGCCTCTTTCTCACCAATGAATCAGGCTACTATCTAGATATCAGCCTGTATAAGGAGGTCACTGACTCCCGAACGGGACAGGTGGGGCCCAAAGACCGACAGGTGGGGCACTGCTTTTTTTGTCCAGATTCAGGCAAAGGGCTGCAGCTCTGTCCTGGAAACCTAAGCTTCTGGTTGCAAGAAGTATATTCTTAAATTTAAAAAAAATTGTCATTTTTATACATGAATTCAAAGCCCTTTGGATATGTTTATTGTTGTGGAGATCCAGTATGGTTTTGTGCTCTTAGCCTGCTGGACGTTTGTTTTGATTATTTTTCTTGTCGCAGCAGATCAGGTAATATTTGTTTCAACCAGCCATTTGGTCATCACCATCTTTCATCCTGTAGATTTAATCATTAGTACATTAATGTTGAGTATGTTAAATCTGCATAAACAAGAAAAAATAATTTTCTTGATGCATATTTTGTGCTTATTTCATGTTTATTGATCTGTGTTGCCTTTCTTTTTTTTTTTCTTAAAAATGACGTAGTGGAATTATGTGTGTTCAACTGATCATGTTTAGTATTAAATAATTCAGTGATTGTTAGAAATATGAGCTTTTCATATTTCCTACACATTGCAATTTGATTTTAATTTGCGTTGCAACATCTCATAGTCGTCCATATTCTCCTATTTTTTATCTAATCCCAACCTTGTTAAAGAGATCCATATTGTCTATAAATACAGTTAACACATCCTGTTTTCTCCCTAGATAATGTTCCAAGCATATGGAGACAAACAAGGGCCCTTACATGGAATGCTCATCAATACTCCTTATGTCACCAAGGACCTGTTACAGTCCAAACGCTTTCAAGCACAATCTCTGGGCACCACCTATGTTTACGACTTTCCCGAAATGTTCAGACAGGTAACATTCAAAAATGTWCTTTTTGAATGGTTTATTTAGATATTGCTTAGAAATACCAAAAATCTAATACAGTTTATCATATGATGCTTCCTTTTTTTTAATTTTCAGGCTTTGAAAAAGCTGTGGCACTCTAGTCAGGCTTATGCTTACTTACCCAAATGCCCTCTTCCTTCTGAGCTGCTCACCTTTACTGAGCTGGTTTTGGATGCTCAGGGTCAGCTGGTGCAGATGAACCGACTCCCAGGGGGAAATGAGGTCAGTGTTTTAAGATTTAAAAGTAAAATCAAACTCAGTAATCTTGGCATTTTTTATTTATATTTTTGTTTATTTATTTTTTATTTTTGGTCTTCAGTGGTGTTTAAAAGTGTGGTAATTCACAATTTGCCCTGTAGATGTCTCTGTGTTTCTTTTAGTTGTTTTTCTTACACTATTCATTGTTTTTGAACATWTATTTAAGAACAAAATAATGTTTTAAATTTGTTGTCAAAGTACAGTTTCAAGGCTGTAATAGAGCGTAATCTTCCACCCAACATTTTGATTTTGTTGACAAACTCAATCGTATAACATGATTTTAACAAAAAGGACATATTTGCACTTTATTTTTCTCAAAATATCTTCTCATTGTGTATTTGTTTTATTTATTTTGTTTGTTTGTTTGTTCAGATTGGTATGGTGGCATGGCGGATGACATTGCGAACTCCAGAGTATCCAGCAGGACGTGAAATCATAGTGATAAGTAATGATATCACTCACAAGATTGGGTCCTTTGGACCCCAGGAGGACGTGTTGTTCCTGCGAGCTTCGGAGATGGCGAGAGAGTGCAGCATCCCTCGTATCTACATCGCAGCCAACAGCGGCGCCCGCATCGGCCTGGCGGAGGAAATCAGACACATGTTCCACGTGGCCTGGCAGGATCCAACTGATCCTTACAAGGTCGGACCACAGAGTCTCAAACTCATAACAGTCTACTGAAGAATGTTTCTTTTCTAACTGTGTTTTATATTGTTACCTATAATTCTAAAGTTCAGCACCTGTTTTACACCCTTTACTCCAGACATCCTCCTGGTGTTTGTTCATTTTTTGTAGTGTTTTTTAATTGATATGTGTAAACATTTACATGTAATCTGCTTTATACTTTCTGCAACTGCTTTGTTTTTTGCCCTCACTTATTACGTGTTGCCTTGCATCAATAACTTCTATATCTGTGTTGTGATTGCTGTATTCTCTACAGGGTTTCAAGTATCTCTACCTCACCCCTCAAGATTACAAAAAGGTCTCCGCTCTAAACTCTGTACATTGTGAACATGTAGAAGATGAGGGAGAATCCAGGTAATTCATTTTTTAAAATACGTACTACAGTACTTGTTATATACAAAAATGACATTATAAACCGCTGTTATATCAGTCAGGCACAAATGATTTTGTTTGTAATTGCATGAGCTTCAAACAGGCAAATCGAGTCAATGTCACATCTGGTTTTGGTGGAATAAATATTAGGGCGGCACGATATCAGGAAAACCTGCGATGTGTGATARGTTTCTTGATTTTGCGATGACTGTATGACTTGTGATGAATGAACAAATATTTACGTATGCAGTGTTGACYTCTTTCTGCTCTGTTTTCAGAGCAAAACAACAACTAAWACATAATTTCCATTACAACATGACAGTTTTATTTTTATAAAGTGCAGCTAGACACAGCTGCTGTAGTAGCAGTGAAACAACCAACTGCATGCAATATAGTTTCTTAATGACTTTAAAACATTGCCCCAAAAAACATTTTCTGTTGCTCTAAATAGTGAAAAATGCCCCTTGCTATCATTTTTTTAAGAATTAATAAAAACACGTTTAAATAAGTTAAATAATTTAAAATGAAAGTTAACAAATCAAATCCAACTGCAAATGATCTAATTGAAGTTAACCAACATTTTCTCKACTGACCAAGTGGTTATGATTTGATGTGGTATCTCTYGTCCATTTTGTTTATCGGACTGATGCTGACAAAACGCATAAATGCAAACATCTGAGCCAACCATTTATTATAATTTATGCRATGTTTTGCSWTATGRTTATTGARAATAAATTTGCGATATATTGTGCAGYCCTAATAAATATCGTGTTGCACAGGTACAAGATTACAGACATCATCGGAAAAGAGGAAGGTCTGGGTGTTGAGAATCTGAGAGGGTCTGGAATGATTGCAGGAGAGTCTTCTCTGGCTTATGAGGAGATAATCACCATGAATCTGGTAAGGCTAATTTTGTGTTTGAAAAGCACATCAATCCATATAGTCTGCTCCTTGACCACTTGTGTGACATAGAAGAAGCTGAAAAGCTGCCAGGTGGATACTTTACATGCATCTTGAAGCTTCAAGATGCTTTTTGCTCTCACAGGTCACGTGTCGAGCCATAGGTATRGGAGCTTATCTTGTGAGGCTCGGACAGAGAACTATTCAAGTGGACAACTCTCATATTATCCTTACAGGAGCAGGGGCCCTCAACAAGGTAAAATGATCTGAAAACAGCATTTCGGTGCAGCACAAATATAATTTGCTTTGATTGTGATGGTGATACGAGTGATGTCCCACAAAACATAAATCTACTTTTTCATGAAAAAATCTCTAAAATAAATGTTTTGATAACACATTTTTTAGAATTTCTTAGTGTGTGTAAAACAAAGCACGAATAGAAGACAAAAGTTTARGCGTGCCACTTATATAAAATAAAGAAATTAGTCGGCTATGACTTTTGTGGTGTGTTCCTACTCGCTGATTGAGCAATTTTAAGGCTCTCTCCTTTTTCTCTGCTCTGTTCTACAAGGATTCCCTTTCCGATCGCAGCCACAGGCCTTCCTGCCACTCAGAGTGGAATAATTGAAAGCGAACCATGAAGCTGTATTTGCATAGAAATAGAGTGACATGCCAGAGGCTGCAGTGCAGGACACCCATATCATTTGTTTTTAATCAAAATGAAAAGTTTTGCTGATGCAGATTGTTTTTTTTTCTGCGTACAAATGATGAGCGTGTGTGTGTATGTGTCAGCATGCTTCACTACCTCCTCCTGTCTTGCTTTCCATTTTCTGTCCTTGTCAGTGCATCAGGATGACTCCATTTCAAATTAGGTGACAGATTACAAAAATGGTAAACCAGGCAAATGGCCCAATGATGGTACTTCTATTTGGTAGAAATTATTTTTAGATTGTTTGGTTTTATTTGTAGGTGTATGGATGACCTTTTTTATACATCTCCATAATATAGAGATGTTATGTTGTTGTTAGTTAGTTCACAATTATTGAATAATTTTTAAAGATTCAGTTGAACAAACAGAACAAGAGAAATTCAAGGGATCTTTTTTCCTGCTCATCTATCATGTGGTTTACTGGTTATTAACTGAAAGTTAATAGGAAGCAGCAGGCGGCCACTCAGAGATCATCATTTCATTAGCTGCTAGAAACTGCTCATTTTTTCATGGGGACTGGATAGTAACTACTGCCACAAATACCCCAGTGAGCTGTTGCTAGCATTTGGCCTCTCGTTTTCTTGCTCCCAGTCATCTCCCTCAGTTTCTCCTCCTCCTCTCTCTGCCATGGAATCTTAATGAATCCGGCGATGGCCGGAGGCTCAGGGGTTTTGTGTATGTCAAGGTGACTGTAATGTTTCTTGGGGCTGCCGCCTCTCCTGACAGCTTTAGGAGAGTGCCCTAGATTTGTAGCCAGATACATAACCATTAATGGTAATAAAGAAAGTAAATGATGGCTGGAAAGGTGAGCACTGAGGGTAGGGATTGAGCTCTACTCTGATTTTTATGGAACCATGTCAGCGCCCAGCCACCTGTTCTTAGCTGCTTATGAAAATAGYGTGGGCAGGGAGTGGGATTTTATGGCTTCAGGTTAGCGTATGAGCAATGTGCTGMTAAAAGAAGTTAGGTGGCTTCCAACTTATAAAACAGTCAGTTTTACAACTTTTTTGTCTGGAAGATTCAGAACACACATCATTAAATTTGATTTAAGCTGATCAAATGAAAACAAAATTGAATTTAAAATATGTGTTTTGGTAGACAACAGGTGCGCAAATTCACATCATCTGGATATTATTTTGATTGATTCATTGAGTCCATTTTAGACAACAAACAGAAGATTTTCAATCGCATGCTAAAATGATCAATACTGCTGTAGTGTTGCAATCTTAGGCATGTTTTAGATGAATGTACCTTTTAAAACTTGTTACTTGTGTGTTTTATTGCAAAAGTTTAGAATCTGAGAAAAAAATAACTAATGTTTATTAATCCCCACATTTGTCTTTTTCATATTAGGTCCTGGGCAGAGAAGTTTACACATCCAACAATCAGCTTGGTGGCATTCAGATAATGCACAACAACGGTGTGACCCACAGCACTGTCTGTGATGATTTTGAGGGAGTTTTTACTTTGTTGCAGTGGCTGTCCTACATGCCCAAGGTAACAACATCTATATAAATTCACTCATCCAAATTTTAGGGATGACTCTGAATTTGTTTTAATACAAAATAATGACACTCTGTATTTTTTTTAAGTGTATGTCTAGCCCGGTACCCATCCTCTGTGCAAAGGATCCCATAGATCGGGCAGTAGAGTTTGTACCGACTAAGACTCCTTATGATCCCCGCTGGATGTTGGCAGGACGTCCCAACCAGAGTGAGTTACTGTCACAGCGATGGGGAAAACCCCACTCCTCATTTTAAGTTTTCTTTGTTAATAAATATTGATATACGGTTTGATAGAGAAAATCTAGTTCCTGCACTTCATGGTGAAAGGCAGGAACATCAGAGGCAATGAAGATTTTAATGAAATGAGTCAATACTCGTTTTTTGTMTTGGAACCTATTTTCAGCCAGTCTAACGAGCAAGTTTCACTCAGTAAATWATCACACAGCTCCTGTGTGCAGTTAGATTGGCAGTGCAAATTAACTTCAACCTTTAAGTAACTACCTTTTATTAGGGAGTTTTCAGCGATTAGAATCACACTAACAAGAGTGTTTTTAAGTGTCTGATCATATCTAAACAACACAGAGATGTAAACACTATAAATTGGTAATAGTCGCACAACAGAAAGTAACAGACATACAAAAAAAATCACATAACAATAAGAAATGTAAATATCAAGATTATAGTCCACATCAAAATATAAATTGTTTGTTTTCTCATGTTTACATTGCTGTGACATTTGAATTTTATTAGTCAGACATTCAGAACAATTACTTATTTACTATCGATTCTAATTGTAAAAGAAATGTTATCCTGAAGAAGGGTTAGTTACCAAAATTTTGCTATATTTATTTATGTTTTGCTAGTTTTACACAGTTCAATAACTTTGTCTTGTTACTTTCAATTTGTTCCTCCTCTGGGGCACCTGTTAAGAATAAAAAGAAACTAGAATTACAAATAAAATAAAAAGGCCCTGCATTACATCTAAGCTTTGACACTGGACTTGGTAATATGACTTATAACTAATATCTCAATAATTAGTTTTTTATTGCAATACATACTGTAGCTTTGTTTTAAAATTTGCTTCAAGCAGTTGCATAAATATTCAGTTTAGTCCTATAATTCATCAAATATGCCAGTGTGYAGATTCAAATTCATCGTTCTGTATTTGGTTTTTACATTTATATACAGAATAGAAAATCTAAATGAAATAAATGTAGCAAACTTCTTATTTTGAACCAACTTTGAACCTTTTTTTTGTGGCCTAGTTTTAAAAGATCTTTAACAAAGACAGTTGATGCAACGGCAGGAAAATATGCTTATAACTGGAAAAACCTGCAAAAGGTCTTTCAAACCCAAATAAATTTAAAAAGCACAGTTTCTGATTGATTTGTGTTTGTAACAAAAAAAGTAAAAAGGAAAACTAGAATGGGAAAACCAGAAACAGATGTCTACATTGTGAACCAACAATAGCATTGATTTCACAGTTCACAAATGAGACACATTTTTTATTTCACTAAAATGAAATAATAGTTTATTACTGTGGAAATTATTTCTTTCATTTTTGATTTTTTTCATTGTAGTAGTAGTAGTATGGGACTGAGTTACCAAATTACAAAGAAACTCATAAATATAGGACATTAAGGGCATAAGTAAAAGTATATGACAAACTTAACTCAGTCAATGAAGATAAAATAAGAATAAAATATTTGTACGCTATGGTTGCAGTATAGTCATTTAATACATTTCATCCAGCCCTGCTTTGTCTTTGAAGATACAATTATTTAGAAAGCTCTTATTTTCTCTTTTAATTATCACTTGTGCCTTTTCAGCAATTGTTCAAAGTCAGTGCCTCATTATTTTAGCCCAACATCCTAACAGTTAATGGGTGAAATAATTCATCATAAGAGACTATTAAACAAATAAGAAAATAAATAATAAAGGTTTAACAACATGCTGTTAAAGGTGAGGTCAGCACCAAAAGTTGATGCAGTGTGTTTTACACTGTGGGTCAGGACTGGGTAGGGTCCACATCAGTGGATGGCAAAAGGATCGGGGGGGAAGTCTGTGTGGGAAGTCAGTCAACAGCTCTGGTAGTGAGGAGTGGCGAGGCTTAATTGAATGGTAACCTCAGAGGCTGGGCTTGTTTCTCAGGGTGTGCAAGCAGAAAAAGAGCTGAGCAAGCCTACTTATACAATCATCCATCATAGTTGCTGCCAAGATTACAGATCTAGAAAGGGGGTGTGGGGGTAAAAAAAAGGCAAGACTAAATGTGAAAGTTAAGTCAGGAGTTATAGAAATACCATGGGATGATCATTGGTTCTAATGGAATTAGTGTAACACAGGCACACAAGTACTAAAACTTTCTGCACTCACTATCTCACTACTGTTTTCCCTTTTTTTAATAAAAAGATCCAAAGGGTTCGTGGCAAAGCGGTTTCTTTGATCATAGCTCTTTCATGGAGATCATGCAGCCTTGGGCTCAGAGCGTGGTGGTAGGCAGAGCCAGGTAAGTTCCAAATAAAACAAAAACCCTCTTGCATCATTGTGTTAAGCTTCTAAAACATTTTCTAAGTGTCTCCTTGATGTTGGTGCCGAATGGCCGCCTTTTACAGACTGGGTGGGATACCCACTGGTGTTGTTGCTGTTGAAACCAGGTCCGTGGAGTTGTCAATTCCTGCTGACCCGGCTAATTTAGACTCTGAAGCAAAGGTGATTTCCACTCAGTGCGAACAGGTACAAAAATACTTACATACGACAAGTTATTAATACTGTTTACCATCTTTATTTAGATCATCCAGCAGGCAGGACAGGTGTGGTTCCCAGACTCTGCTTTCAAAACAGCCCAGGCCATTAAGGACCTGAACCGAGAGGGCTTACCTCTCATTGTTTTCGCCAACTGGAGGGGCTTTTCTGGAGGAATGAAAGGTGTCTTTGCTTCCTTATTAGTCAGTCTATATCAGATTAAACCTAGTGTTTTACTAACATGAATTTATTCATTTTTTTCCAGATATGTATGACCAGGTGATAAAGTTTGGGGCCTACATAGTGGATGGGCTGAGGGAGTACAAACAGCCAGTTCTGGTTTACATCCCCCCTCAGGCTGAGCTGAGGGGAGGCTCCTGGGTGGTCATAGACCCCACCATCAACCCCCGTCACATGGAGATGTACGCCGACAAGGACAGCCGGTGAGTTCAGCAGAACAATGTCATGTAAATTTTGTAGCAAATGAGCTCGGTTTCCACTTGAATGCCTTGTGTGTTCAGAGGAGGGGTGTTGGAGCCTGAAGGAACGGTGGAGATCAAGTTTAGGAAGAAGGACCTGGTGAAAACCATGAGAAGAATAGATCCTGTCTACATGGTTTTGGCTGAGAGACTGGGTGAGTTTCCACCCTTTAATTCTAAGCATTGCTTTCTTTTTATTAAACAGGCAGCTTTTTGTCCCACCCACTCAACCTTGTCCTTATTTTAGCGGAAGGAGCGATGCATCAGGAGGGACCATGTGTGCTTTCACCATCCCGCTTTATTTGGTGTCGATTGTGTCATCTTTACTGCACTTCCCCCGGGAGACGTGTCAATCACAGCCCCCCTCAGATCAATCACCAGCTCTCCTGTGCAGACTATTGATTTTAGTTTGAGCCAATTCTACATTAGGATTGGCGCTTTGGGCGAAACCGGTGGGTTGTTGTGGAGGGCTGGAGAGCTTTCAGATTGGAATTGACAAAAAAAAATCAGCAAGGGGTTTAAAGGAGCTCCTAAACAAAATGGTGTCAGACAGAGTTGATTCTTCGCTCTCTTCTCATGTGGGATTGATGTTAATGGGATAAGGTGATAAGGAAAGGTCAACATACTGAGGGAATGCTGTGGGAGGACAGAATATTTCTCTCAGGTTRAAACACCACCTAATATTCTTTTTCTTTTAAATAATAATAGTTTTATAAAATCAGCGGTTCTTCAAACTCCAACAGGAACTCCAGAACTGAGCCCCGCTGACCGAAAGGAACTGGAGACTAAGCTTAAGGAGCGTGAGGAGTTCTTGTTGCCCATCTACCATCAAGTGGCCGTGCAGTTTGCAGACCTCCACGACACGCCGGGTCGCATGCAAGAAAAGGGTGTCATCACAGTGAGTAGATAAGAGCTTCGTGTTTTGCTTCAGTAGCAATGTGCAAGAAGTGAAGGAGACGAAAAGCCCAGCGGCGAGCATCAGTCTCGCTGCTGCTGCACCTGTCGAGTGAATAATGTTTGGTCTCACCCGCCTGCGAAACTCGTCCTCGTAATTATCTCCTGATGACCCTGGTCAATCACCTTCGCAACTACAGAGCAGCCGCCGGCAGCCCCATCTCATTCCACACCTCCATACTTCTATCTTTCACACACACGCTTTTTACTCACATGACCAGAAGGGTGTTTCATGGTTGGATGGCAGTTGGTATTTTATTACTCACAGTATGCACTGAAGAATATTTTTATTGGGCTTCATATTTACCTCAACGCGCCTACAGAAATGTCTGAGTGTTGCTTCTTAAAAAACAACTTGAGGTGTTTGGGACCTCTTAATTCAGAGTTTATATTTCTTTAATACACATTTCTGCACTCAGTTTTTACACTTCCATCAAACATCCATGCAAAAATAAGAAAAAAACATCCCCGCTTTATCGTAAATAAGGCTTTAGGTTAGTTTTTTTTTTTTACACACGGCCTGGAATTATACTCTTACCACTGTCAGAAAATACACACAATAAAAACATTAAACAGATCAGAAAAAAGCAAAAACTATCCATATTTTACCTTGTATTTACAATTTGGCTTGAATTGGTACACCAACTGGTTGTGCTTTTTTCTTCTTCTTCTTCTCTAAGGACATCCTCGAATGGCAGACGTCACGTCAGTTCTTCTACTGGCGTCTGCGGCGTTTGCTGCTGGAGGACACGGTGACGAAAAAGATCCAAGCAGCCAACAGCGAGCTGACAGATGGGCAGATCCAGGCGATGCTGCGCCGCTGGTTTGTGGAGGCCGAGGGGACCGTTAAGGTAAAATCCAAAGCACCATTTTAACTTCTGTTGTCGAGTTGCCTATTTTTTAAGTGGCTTGGAGTACTAAATAGTTTGCTAAACATTGGAATGGTATAAGAAACCTATAATATTCTGTAAAGAATTGTCAGTTCTTAAACTGAGAACTATTATGATAAACATTTTAATCTGTTTAAAAAGGTCTGAGGAAGAATTTTATTTTTTATTGCTTATATAAAAAAGTTTGCTTCATCTGAAACATTTAAGTGTGACAAACATACACTCACCAGCCACTTTATTAGGTACACCTGTCCAACTGCTCGTTAACACTTAATTTCTAATCAGCCAATCACATGGCGGCAACTCAGTGCATTTAGGCATGTAGACATGGGCTGTGTCCAAAACGACAGGACGGGTCCTCCGAAGGTCGAATTTGTCGGCCGCATACGTCACAGC